CAGGAAAACGGAGACAAGAGATCACGGAATGTTTCTGTGGCCTTTTTTGCAGTCCCCTTGTATTAATGCCACTGAGTCGGAATGGGTGCCCAGTTTTGGTTCCGTGGCTGGTATGGCCCAGCCTCCCGCCTTGACCAATAGTACCGTGGAGAGGCAAGCAGGGTCAGCATTCTGGGGTGGCCTCCAGTGAAGGGCTGAGCCCCCGCCTGCAGCAGCCTTACTCCTGCTTTTGCTGCCTCCTCCCCCTCACCCCACAGGCACCCCTTGGTGGCAGGGCGGTCCACCTTCAGGAGGGCGATGCCAGGATGAGTACTGTACAGACACCCCTAGGGCACTGAACAGGAATGTGGGGGTGCCAGGTACCCTGAATGTAGGATCCTGCCTGAGGGTTCTGAGACTTCTCATGCCGTGGTAGGGAATGGGGCAGGAGCGTCAGGGCGCCCAGACCCCCATGAGCAGCCCTTGCTCCCCACGCTCAGCTGCTTCACCTGTAAAATGGACCATTTACTCGCAGGCTGTCTGGAGCTGGCAGGAGGGCTCACACGCAGGTAAACAGACTTGTGTGCAGCCTCGGCGCCCCCAGGCTGGGAGCTGGTGCAGCAGGCAGCTGCCTTGGCCAGGGGGAGGAGGAAGAGGAGGACCCAGAAGCGTGGGCTTGAGCTGGCAGCCCTCCAGACAGAAGCCTCTCAGGACGGGCCTGGAGGAGGGGCTGCTGAGCTGGCAGAATTGCTGAAGCTGTGTCCTGAGCAGAGCTGGGGGCCGTGCACCGCAGCCTGGCTGGCCCCCTTCCCAGATGGCCAGGCAGCGGCCGCACTGCCTGCTGCTACCCACTGCTCTGCGCCTGCTCCATTCATCCCTTCCCCCCCAGGCCCTCCCCTAGGAAGGGGGATGACAAGTGTGCCCTGCTCCTGCCACCCCCGGGCACTCGGTGTGTGAAAACTGCAGCTGTTTCTGTCACTCCTTGAGGTGGCACCCAGGTAGAGTAGTATCAACACTGTGTGCTTTAGTGTTGGGCTCCTGCTGGGAGGTGAGTGGCAGGGCAGCTCAGGTCAGACAGGGTCTAGCCCGCTTTGTTGGGATCCCCCAGCCTGTGCCCCAGAATTCAGAGATGCTGCAGCTGAAGACTGTCCCTCGGCCACAGGAGGGAACTCACAGATATCTAGCTGCTCCCTCTCAGTTCCCTTCCCGGGTTGAGTGCCCTCCGGATGCCGTCCCAGCTGTGGCGTTTCAGGACCCCTCCTCTGTCACCCTCCTTAACCATGGAACCACCTCTGAATGGATGTGGAGAGCCTGGCACGGGGATGGGGGGGTGGGGGGGAGGGAGGAAGGCAAGGGAATTGTTGGAGGTACAGAGGGGCATGGGGAGCTATCTCTTGACTACAGGTAGGGCCTGGGGCCAGACTCCCTCTGGTTCTACCAGATTCCAGCTCAGTGCCTGCCCTCAGGTGCCTAATTCCGCATCTCTGTGCCTCAATTTCCCCCTACTGAGCGGGTCTTCACTCAATGGAGTCACTGAACAGTCCTGTGTGTGACAAGCCTGGCTCGCTGAAATGCTGATCACAGGAGCGGTTGTGGACGTAGCAACCCCGTGTGTGTGCGCAAAACCAGTGAGGTTTGCAAGGCCGTCAGAGTCCCATCCCAAAGGAGCTCAACATGCTGGTCTTCCAAGGCACCCCTGCCTGGCGTTCGACCCACCAAGCTTTGACTGTTGCCTAGCGCTTAGCTCTCTGCGTCAGCCAGAGAACCCTGTTGTCGGGAGCTATTGAGTCAGCCCCGACTCCTAGTGACCCAATCGGAACACCCCCCTTCTTCTCCTGTGCCATTCTCACCATTGGTCTTAAGTCTGAGCCCAGGGGCTCCTGGGGGTGCCGTACACCAAAACAACCCTGCTGCCCCTGTGTCAGTTCATCTCAGGGCCACCATGTGGGATGGAGCACACTGGCCTGGAGGACTTCTATTGCTGACTTTTACACACAGACGGAAGGGCTGAAAGCCCCCCAAAGTCCACCTTTTGGTGAGCAGCCAGGCGCTGACCCACTGCACCCCTGGTGGTCTTTGGTATTGCCATATGACCTAGCGATACAACTGCAGACAGCCCATTCGACCGGGCGGTGGGCTTTCAAAGAAAAATGTGTGTAAGAAGATGTGTCGCAGCAGGAGACACAACAGCCAAGTGTCCTGCCCCCCTGGGGGGGGGGCAAATGGACACACACAACAGAGCATTACTCAGCCATCCAGAGAAATGAAGTTCAGACTCATGCTACAACCTGGTGGGACCTTGACACCAGATGGAGCTCAAGCCTCCAGACACAAGAGACCACGTTATAGATGTGTGTTGGGCTGGGCTGTGTAGAGAAACAAACCAGGAACCCTCATACGTGTAAGAAAGAACTTCTGATCAAGAAGGCGAAGGCGGTCCAGCCCAGTTCAGCCCAAGTCTGCATGCTACCCGAATCTTCCTGGGACTCACGGAGCTGCAGGCTGATGAGGCAGAGCCAGGAAGCAGGGAGATCACGGGCCAGTGGATGGAGAGTCACATGGACCCAAGGTCCCTGGGAACATGGCAGAACGCCAACAGCCCACAGGGGGTCACTCCTGGAGGCAGAAACAGAATCCCAGCAAGCATGGAGGGCCAAGGGCCCGAGAGAAGTTCTCCGTCATTAAAAGGGCACCCCCCACCCCAAGGAGGCATCACAGGCTATCTGACTGACAGCTTGGACTCCACCCTACCTCCACATTCTCTCTCTCACTGCCATCCAGGGGATCTGGACTCCTCAGGACTCCATAGAACAGAGTAGGACTTCCACTGTGGTTTGCCAAGACTGCTGGTCTTTACAGGAGCAGACAGCCTCCTCTTTCTCCCTTAGAGTGGCTGGTCCGTTCAAACTGCTGACCTGTGGCTAACAACCTAATGTATAACCAGCTGTGTGTCACCACGGCTCCTTAGTGATCGTCGGGGTTGAGGGCTGGGGAAGTGAGGCCAGCGTTTCCAGGTGGGTTTCCTATTGAGGGGGGTTGCGGATTTGGAACTAGATGGAGGCGGTTGTGAACAGCACTGTGGAGGTACTCAATGCCACAGAAAGAGGTCTGTCTGGTGTTGCCTGTTTGGCCTCCAGCATGGGACAAGCCCTTGAAGTACCTCCAGAAACCGGGCCACTCAGGATGGCAGAGGGATGGTTTAAGAGGAAGGAGTGGGGTAGGGGATCAGAGATAGAAATTAATTCATCTGGCCAGAGCTCGGGCCAATGGTGAGCAGAGACACTAAAAGATGCTAAGTCATCAGGGGCCACCCTACCAGGCCCAGGGAAGATGCGTGGAAGACAGAAGGCTGGAGACGGCAGGTGGGTGGGGGAGGAAGACCAGATAGGAGATTGTTACAGGCCGGTGGGTGGGGGTGGAGGCTGGAGCAGAGGCAGGCATGGGGCCAAAGAGAACTGAGGGAGGCCTGAGTGCCACCGTGGAGAATGAAAGGTGAGGGAGGGGAAGCTGGAGGGATGCACCTAGCGGTAGTCACAGGGAGAACAGTGTGGGGTAGGACATGGTGATCTGTGTTGGCATGGAAGGGGAGGTGTCAGAGAGGTACTACAGTGACAATGCCCACCACCACAGGCAGGACAGACCTGAGGTTTGGGAAGCCACAAGTCACCTCACCTGGCCTTGGCAGGGCAATGGGATTGGAAGCCCCAGGGTCGTGTGCAGAGAGAATTCTCAGGGGTGGGCAATCAAGAGGCTATGAGGGGACAGGAAGAGGGAACAGAATCCCCCAACTTGAGAGCTTTCTAGAGGAGAAGGGCTGGCCATCCCGTGACCAGGTGTGAAGCAGCAGACAGCATGGTTGATCACTGGTGGACTTGGCAAAGGAGACAGACAGCAACCTTGAGCGCATTATCTGGAGAGCCGAGGAGAAGCACCCCTTTGCAGGGGCTGGAGGGGAAAACCAGGAGGGAGGGCAGTGGGGGTGAGCTTGGGTTGTTCCACGATGTCCAGGAACTGTGGTAGTGTGTGGTTAAAGCGCTCGACTTTGAACCCCGCGGTCGGCTGTCTGATTCAGTAAAGATCTACAGCCTTGGGAAGCTGTTAAAGTCGTTGTGCTCTGTCCTAGAGGGTCTTCCAGATGAGCTGGAATGGACTTGCTGGCCCCTAACAACAAGAAAGGCCCAGGGGGAGGACAGGAAGGAGGTGAACTGTATGGGAAGGAAGGTTCTAGGAACTGTGCGAGGGTTGGCACCCAGCGCCTGGGCGGGCGGGCGGAGGACTCGGCCTTGGTCCAGCGCCGGCCGGAAGGAAAGGGAGGGTGTAGCTGCATTGGGACTTGTGTTGGGAAGAACCCGTGGGGGGGAACCGTGTCAAGGGCTCTTGTTTTTTCTGTGAAGGAGGGTGAGGGTGGGGGTGGGGAAGGCTGGGTTGGAGAAGGAAGTTTGCCGTTGTTTCCAGATTGAAAGAGTTCCTGAGCTGAGCGCTCCCCCGCCCCTCAGCAGAGACGGTTCCGAAGCAGGCTGCCAGCCCACTCCTCCAGGGCGATTCTGGGTGGGTTCACCAGGCCCACCTTTAGCAGCTGAGGCCTTGACCGTTCGTGCCACCCAAGGGCTGCAGGTGTCCCAGGTAGAGCAAATTAACGAAAATAAGACTGCCCACTTAAAAGCAACGATATTTTAAAAATAAGTAAGCCTGTGTTATATTTGAGATATACCTGTACTAAAACATTATTCCTAGCGTACGCGAGACGAACTTTCCCCTATAATTTTTCTGGCAACCCTAACCTTAGGTGAGGGTATTGCGGGTGGGGCAGGTCGTGCGGACAACTCAACCCAGCCGTGGGGTCCAGGCCTGGAAAACGGGCTGTCGTCTCAGAGGGACTGGGAGCCGGGAGAATGCTGGGGGGGCGTGGGGGTCGGGGAATGGTCTCCGCTGCCAGAATAAGGCGTGTGAAGCCCGCCGCTTTAGCACGTTAGCCTCGCCCCACCCACCCCTAACTCGGGCCCCATGGTCTCGCCCTGAAGGCCCATCGATAGTTCTGCGTTCGGCCTCGATCGAGTGGCTCCGGCTCCTCTCGCCGTCCTGAGTCTCGGCGGATGGTGGAAGCGCATGTAAGGTACAGAGGCCGCGGGACCAGGGTCGGGAAGTGGCTGCCGGGTGGCCGGGAGAGCGCGGCTGAGGGCAGCCGGCCCAACTGGACGCAGCTAGGGCGGCTGGCGGAGGACAGGCGAGCTCAAGGGTCCAGCCAGAGGGCCCCCCACCCCTCCCATCAGGTCCCGCCGTCGGCCCCGTGCGCACGCGCAGCCGCAGCTCTGGGCTCCCCTCCCCGGCGGGCCCGCGCAGGCGCAGCTCAACCCTGCGGCAGAAGGGCGCCCCGGCCGTGACTGCCCCCTGCCGGCCGCGCGTGGGGTGACGTCTCCGCGGGGCGCGAGGCGGGAGCGGCGCCCGGGATCTGCGCTTCAGGCTGCCACTCTGGTTCTGGAACTTCTCTGGATCGGTTTTCTTTTCTCCAAAAAGGAGGAGAATGGGACCCTTGGTGGTGCGGTGGGCTAAGCGCCTGGGGCTGCTCACCGGATGGCGGCGGTTCGAACCCGCCAGTCCCTTGCTCCGCGAGAGAAAAACAGATAGGCTGTTTCTGTGGATGGGCAGCCTCGGAAACGCGAGCAGTTTTACAGGGTCGCTGCGAATCGGAATCCACTCTGCACTCCACAGGGTACACAGCAGGGGTATTTAGATGACAAATGTTAAAGGCCCAATCCCACCCAAATAAAACCATTGATTCAGAGTGACCATGTAGCACCGACTAGGATTGTCCCAGAGGGCTTCCCGTCCTTAAATCTCTAAAGAGGCCGGCCGACTGCTTAGACCGGAAGAGTGGCTGGCGGGTTTGAACTGCGGACCTTGGGGTTAGCAGCCGACCCCCTTAATCACCGGGCTGCTGAATGTACTTATTACCTTGAGGGGGGTTCCTTCAAACCCTCCACCTGCTCTCTTCCCGCCCGCCCCAGATGCTTTGACCTTTGTTTGGCCCCGCTGTGCAGCCCTATCCGGCAGCTGCCATCATGAACACCTCCCCAGGCACAGTGGGCAGTGACCCAGTCATCTTGGCCACCGCCGGCTATGACCACACCGTGCGGTTCTGGCAGGCCCACAGCGGGATCTGCACACGGACTGTGCAGCATCAGGACTCCGTATCCTGCACCCTGGGGACTTCGGGGCACAGGGACAGGGCCTGGGGTGGGTGGGAACTCTCAGCCCACAGAGGGAGGGCAGGCTCCGGGGCCCCGCCCACCTGTTGAGTTCCTTGACTGCAGCTAGCAGGTGAACGCGCTGGAGATCACGCCGGACCGTAGCATGATCGCAGCTGCAGGTACCACTGCTAAGCTCCTGTCCCCCCAGCCCGCTTGGTGGGCCTGGGTACTGCCAAGCTCACAGTCGGCCTATGCCCCCAGGCTACCAGCACATCCGCATGTACGACCTCAACTCCAACAACCCCAACCCCATCATCAGCTACGATGGTGTTAACAAGAACATTGCCTCAGTGGGCTTCCACGAGGATGGCCGCTGGATGTACACCGGTGGCGAGGACTGTACGGCCAGGATCTGGGACCTCAGGTGGGTGGGGTGCCCAGGGCTGTCTCAGGACACGTTCCCTCCAAGTTGAGACTGTGGTGGGAGGGTTTGGGGGAGACTTCATTAAGGGTGCAGCCAGACAAAAACACAAGGCTGGCCTCAGCCTGGCCCCTCAAGGAGCTCTGGAGAGGGATTCCAGCCCCCAGCTGGCTCTGCCTGGAGGCCTTTTATGCCCCCAGGGGGAGCAGACTCCCATAGCAGGAAGTTTCTGTGGCAATTGACTCAATTTGGGATTCCGTGTGATCCTCTTGGACAGAGTAGAACTGCCCCAGAGGGATCCCAAGGCTCTAAGTCTTTTGGGAAGTCGGCCCCTTGCCAAAAGTTCTCCCCCACAGAGCGGCTAGTGGGTGCAAGTCGCTGGCCATTTGGTCATCAGCAGGGCACTATACCCTCACACCAGAAGGGCTTGTGAACGTTTATAACCGAGCAAAATCCAAACCCACTGCCATCGAGTCGATTCCAACTCATCGCCACCCATTCTAGGGTGGTGAGACGTAAGGGCTTCTGAGACTCAAGTCTTAAGTCCATACAGGAGCAGGCAGACTCGTTCTTCTCCCCTTGGAACAACTGGGTTGAAGCCCTGCCTGACCCTCTGGGGCACAGGTGCTGCCATCAGTAACTTAAATCAAAGGCAGCACCCAGGCCGTCGGCGTCAGCCCCCTCCCTCCCTCAGGTCCCGGAACTTGCAGTGCCAGAGGATCTTCCAGGTGAACGCGCCCATCAACTGTGTCTGCCTGCACCCCAACCAGGTGAGGGGCCGGGTGGAGTCAGGCATCTGGGAGCTGGGAAGGGTGGGTGTCTGGGCCCATCTTACCAGCCCCTCCTCCCCCTGAAACCCAGGCGGAGCTCATCGTCGGGGACCAGAGCGGGGCCATCCACATCTGGGACTTGAAGACAGACCACAATGAGCAGCTGATTCCTGAGCCTGAGGTCTCCGTCATGTCCACCCACATCGACCCCGACGCCAGCTACATGGCGGCTGTCAATAGCACCGTGAGTGGGAGCAGCTGCAACCTCGCACACACCTCCCGCCTGGGGCTCTGACACCCCTCTTCCTCCCACATCTTCCCAGCAAGCAGACAGCGCCACTCCCTGGTGCTTCCTGGTTCTCATCATCCATGCACCGCACCTGGGTGCCTGGTCGCACTTCTCCCTGCCTGAACGCACCTCCATAGCCCCACCTGGACCTGGCTGCAGCCCCGACAGTTACACCCTGCTCCCTGACTCAGGCCTTTCCTGTCCTTGGCCCTTGTTTGTTCTGGGCGGGCAGGTAGGCAGCTGAATAGGACCTGACTCTTTTCCTGCCCTGGGTCACCGCTACCCTGATCCCCAGACTGCGCCCCTGCCCCACAGGGAAACTGCTACGTGTGGAACCTTACGGGAGGCATTGGGGACGAGGTGACGCAGCTCATACCCAAGACCAAGATTCCGGCACACACGCGCTATGCCCTGCAGTGCCGCTTCAGCCCTGACTCCACGTGCGTTCTGTCCTCAGGCGGGTGGGGGGTGCTGCTGGGTGGGGGGCTGCAGGGTGACCGCCCCCTCACCAGCCCCCCCCACGCCCCCCAGATTGCTGGCTACCTGCTCGGCTGACCAGACGTGCAAGATCTGGAGGACCTCAAACTTCTCTCTGATGACGGAGCTGAGCATCAAGAGCAGTAACCCCGGGGAGTCTTCTCGTGGCTGGATGTGGGGTTGCTCCTTCTCAGGAGACTCCCAGTACATTGTCACTGGTGAGTCCACCGCCCGC